TGAGTGATTAGCTAGTGACTGGTCACAGAAATGACTATGTTGAAGTCAAGGCCTACACATCCGAGCTATTCACAGTACCATATAGTGAACCAATAAAAAAATAAAATATAAATTACCTTAATGTTATCAATAAACTCTATATTCTCCAATCAGCTAAGCTACCAACAATAAGTCGTTATATATCACAATGCTATATGGCGAAAAAATGGGTGGATTCTTACCCTCAACTTTAGCACCACGGATAGCTACGGGCCCCGTTCAGACGGACGAGTTCGTCCATGGTCGGAACAGAGGAGGGGGAGAGAGACAGCTGCGAGGCGCTATTATACTCCATGTTGTAAACCATACCATTAACCGTGGTGTGAGAGGTATTAAGAGTCAATGCCAGCGAAAGAGCTGCGGTCTGAAGGTCATCGTAAAAATACAATTAATTAAGGTTTCTTCCATGTGAGTAGAAGTCTTTTACTTGAGTAGGTTTCTTCCATGTGAGTAGAAGTCTTTGACTTGAGTAGGTTTCTTCCACGTGAGTAGAAGTCTTTTACTTGAGTAGGTTTCTTCCACGTGAGTAGGAGTCTTTTACTTGAGTAGGTTTTTTGCACGTGAGTAGAAGTCTTTTACTTGAGTAGGTTTCTTCCACGTGAGTAGAAGTCTTTTACTTGAGTAGGTTTCTTCCACGTGAGCAGGAGTCTTTTGACTAATGTAGGCGCAGCTTTCTTGTACCAGAAAATAAGCTACGCGTTAACTTGTGGGAGCAAAAAGTCTGACGCGTGTTTGAGGTGTTTTAAATCTAACTGTTTATTTATTTCTTAGTTGCCCAAAAACGAGCGTTTTCTAAGGTTATATCTTCGCCTGTTCACGTACTGTAACACCCCGTTGCACAGTCAAAAGGCTGTATCCACTCGCTCCCCGTCGGCTATTCTCGTAGCCCCCCCCCCCCCCCCCCCCCGTTTATACTGTAAAAAACCGGAAGTGACGTAATGGGTTCAACCAACAGAGCGTCTAACCACAGGGGGGTTTCTACACAGTTGGGATATTCCAAATTAAATATAACCAGTCCGTCAACAAATGTATGACGGATGTACATCAAATCTATATACAGAAATAATACACTCACTTTCTGTCTTATGGCTCTTACAGGTGGGTGTGTGGGTGGGTGTGTGGCTGCAATGGCTCCTTTGGGTACGCGGTCCAGGCCTCCCCAGAGACCCTGGCTGACAGAGGAGGTATTCTGGATGGTTGAGAAAAAGCGACAGGCCCACTGTTATCGGCTACAGAATCCCACGTCAGAGAATGAGGAGGCTTACCGCAGCCTTCGCTCGGAGGTTCGGAGAGCCGTGAGGCGCTGCAAGGATGGGTGGTGGTCGCGGGTTGCTGAGGAGATGGAGTCTGCCTCAGTGGCCCGTGATCACAAATCTCTATTTAACTCCATCAAAAAAGTAATCTGCAGCGCCACACCTATTACCATCATTAGGGGAAAAAACGGTGACCCAATCTCCGACCCCCAGGAACAGGTTTGCAGATTTGCTGAGCATTTCTGTGAGGTCCTGGGGGAGGGAAAATCCCTCAGCCAGGAAAACATCGTGGCACAAAGTGAGGATGACCCCGCTGAGGCTGCGGTGCCTCAAATATTGGAAGAAGTCACCCCCTGTGAGTGGCTGGCTGTGGTGCCATCTGTTGAGAAAGTACTGAAGGCGATCCGGAGTCTGAGACCAGGAAAGGCAGCGGGCAGAGATGATCTCCCAAGCAAAATGCTGAGGGAGGGCGGCGTTTGTGCACAGACTGCCCTATATGACATCATAATAACAGTCTGGACCACTGGACGGGTTCCGCAGGATTGGAAGGATGCCCTGGTGGTCCCCCTTTTTAAGAAGGGGGACCGCACAGACTGTAATAACTACAGGGGCATCTCACTCCTCAGTGTGCCGGGAAAGGTCCTGGCAAGGATTATTCAACATCGCCTTGCCAGGCACGCTGAGGAGAGGCTTGCGGAGCCCCAATGCGGTTTCAGGAAAGGGCGGTCCTGAACAGATGCCATATTTTCTGTCCGTCTGCTACAGCAGAGGTGTAGGGAATTCCAACAAGACCTACATCTCTGCTTTATTGACCTGGTCAAGGCCTATGATACCATCAGTAGGCCTGGGCTCTAGGTTGTTCTTCGTGCTTTTGGAGTACCTGACCCTCTGCTCACGATCATTAAGGACCTTCATGATGGTGAACGGGCCCGGGTAAAACTACGTGGCCGGGAGTCAGAGCCATTCCCTGTACACCTTGGGGTGCGACAGGGATGTCCTCTGGCTCCCACATTATTTAACATCTATTTTGACCACGTAGTTCGTGAAGTCTCCAATAGCTGTACCGGAGGAATCTCCATATGGTACAGATATAATGGGAGGCTGATCGATGCCCGGGTGCGGTCAAGGGATGGCTCCCTATTGCTCAACCACGTTTTGTATGCTGATGATTTGGTAATAGCTGCTCATTCAGAGGAGGAGTTGGAGACGCTGCTGCTGAGACTGGAGCGTGCCACTAAGAGGTGGGGCCTTACCATCAGCCCCACCAAAACTAAGCACCTGCCTGGGTATTTTGTACCATCGGACACTCCACCCCCACAACTCCCAATCGGTGATGGGGCAGTTGTGGAGAGAGTGGAGAGTTTCCCATACCTGAGCAGTGTGCTCATTTACGGCTCTGGCTTGACAGCAGAGGTCTCACTCCGAATCAGTTGAGTGGCATTATCTTTTCATCGGTTGCGTAACGCTGTGTGGAAGCTGCCTGGTCTGTCGCTCCACACGAAGCTTCAGGTCTTCTTGGCCACAGTCATTCCCTCCCTTCTCTATGCTTGTGAAACTTGGACCCCCCTAATGGAAGATCTTCTCCGGTTAGAAACATTTAGGCTGGCCTGCCTTTGATCCATCCTGGGTTTAACCAGGCTGGATTGTGTGAGGAGCTCACAAATCCTTAAAAGATCTGGACAAAGTCCCATCGGTGAGCTCCTCTGGCAGGCAAATCTGCGTTAGCTGGGTCATGTAGCCCGCATACGCAGACACCACATGCCTAAACAGCTTTTGTTCGGCCGGATCAGTGGGGCTAAATGGGCGCGGCATGGGCTAGAGAAGAGATGGAGTGATGTGGTACAGGAGGACGTGGAGCTGAGTGGACTTGCCGATGACTGCTACCAGCGGTGTCAAGATCGGCCTCTGTGGAGGAGGCTCGTGAAGGACGCTATGGGGCAGTTGGAGGCAGTCGCCCTCCAACAACAACGGAGGGCGGAGGAGCGATGCTCACAACAACGAGCGGAGCACCGGGTGGCTAAAGCACAGCAAGTTGGCAAAGTAGGAGGCTGGTGCATCAGCCAGTCATCTCAGTCAGTCGACCCGTGGCACCTGGGTCTGCCCCGTGACCTCCTGCCAGTTGGGCGTTCGACACTTCACATGGCCTCAACGTGCACATAGCCCGGCACAAGCATTGTGGTAACGTCACCGCTACTTAGTGGCGAATGGCGGTTGTTGTTGTTGAGTGGATGTGTGTGAGTGGATGTTTGTGAGTGGGTGCGTGAGTGAGTGGCTCCACCCCCACAACTCCCAATCGGTGATGGGGCAGTTGTGGAGAGAGTGGAGAGTTTCCCATACCTGGGCAGTGTGCTTATGACTGGCTCCAGTTTAACAGCAGAGGTCTCACTCCGAATCAGTCGAGCGGCAATATCTTTTCATCGGTTGCGTAACGCTGTGTGGAAGCTACCTGGTCTGTCGCTCCGCACTAAGCTTCAGGTCTTCTCGGCCACGGTCATTCCCTCCCTTCTCTACGCTTGCGAAACGTGGACCCCCCTAATGGAACATCTTCGCTGGTTAGAAACATTTAGGCTGGCCTGCCTACGATCCATCCTGGGTTTAACCAGACTGGATTGTGTGAGGAGCTCACAAATCCTTGAAAGATCTGGGCAGGGTTCCATCGGTGAGCTCCTCCGGCAGGCAAGGCTGCGATGGCTGGGTCATGTAGCCTGCATGCCCAGCCACCGCATGCCGAAACAGCTTTTGTTTGGCCGGATTGAGGGGACTAAGCGGGCGCGGCACGGGCTAGAGAAGAGATGGAGTGATGTGGTACAGGAGGACGTGGAGCTGAGTGGACTTGCCGATGACTGGTACCAGCGGTGTCAAGATCGGCCTCTATGGAGGAGGCTCGTGAAGGATGCTACTGGGCAGTTGGAGGCAGTCGCCCTCCAACAACAACGGAGGGCGGAGGAGCGACGCTCAGAACAACGAGCGGAGCGCCGGGTGGCTAAAGCACAGCAGGTTGGCACAGTAGGGGGCACAGGTGGTGCATCAGCCAGTCATCTCAGTCAGTCGACCCGTGGCACCTGGGTCTGCCCCGTGACCTCCTGCCAGCGGGCGTTCGACACTTCACGTGGCCTCAGGGTGCACATTGCCTGGCACAAGCGTCGTGGTGACGTCACCGCCACTTAGTGGCGAATGGCGGTTGTTGTTGTTGTTGAGTGAGTGGCTGTGTGAGTGAATGAGTGGGTGTGTGAGTGGGTGTGTGTGTGAGTGGGTGTGTGATTGGGTGTGTGAGTGGGTGGGTATGTGAGTGCGTGTGTGAGTGGGTGGGTGTGTGTGTTGGTGTGTGAGTGGGTGGGCGTGTGAGTGGGTGTGTGAGAGGGTGGGTGTGGTTGTTGATGTGTGAGTGAGTGGGTGTGTGAGTGGGTGGGTGTCTAAGTGTGTGAGTGGGTGGGTGTGGTTGTTGATGTGTGAGTGGCTGTGAGTCTGTGAGTGAGTGGGTGAGTGTGTGTGAGTGTGTGAGTAGTTTGTTTGTGTGAGCAAGTGGTTGTGTGTGTGTTTCAGTGTGTGTGAATGAGTAACATCGCCACTAGGGAGACAAAGGCGGCCGGGCGTAGTGCTGGCCACCCACTCCCTAGTGTGCTGTTCCGGCCTTCATAGGTGCTCGCCAAGAGCACTTGCCCCAACAACCTGTTAAGGCTACACAGGCGATCTTTGTTTTTGTGCAAGGACGTACTGCCACACGGAAGAGGATCCACACCTGCACAAGGTGTCCCAGCTGGAGTCGGTGCAGAGATACCTGTCTGGGGAGAAGCTCGGACTCCGATGTGAGTACTCGCATCATCATCATCATCGGCCGTGGTCTACCCACTGCTGGATCAGAATCAGGAGTGTATTCCCCACTGAGAGCTCTTTTTCTAGGGGCGACTCGGCTGGCAGACAACATAAAGCATTCTTTGATTACAGATAAAAATTACAAACTCCACTCAAAAACAACAGCAACAGCCGCCATTCACCACTAAGTTACGGCAATGTCTCCACGGCTCTCGTGTCAGGCCAGGTGCACTTTTAGGCCACATGAAGTGTCGAAACCTCGCTGGCAGGAGGTCATGGAACAGACCCAGGTGGCATGGGTTGACTGACTGAGATGACTCAAATGCACAACCTGTGCCCCCTACTGAGCCAGGCTAGGTGCAGGAGGTCACGGAACAGGCCAATTTGCCATGCGTTGACTGACTGAGATGACTGGCCGATGCACCACCTGTGCCCCCTGCTGTGCCACCTCGCTGTGTTTTATCTGCCCGGCGCTCCGCCCGTTGATGTGAGCGTCGCTTCTCTGCCCTGAGTTGTTGCTGGAGGGCGACTGCCTCCAGCTGCCCAATAGCAGTATCCTTCACGAACCTCCTCCACACACTCACCCTTGTACACCCACTGACTCATCATTGTGGTCTATCTATCTTCGGGGGTAATCCCAGGCCTGCGTCTCTCCATGCTTCTCCGCGCTTCTTCTCCGTCCACGTTTCCGTGTTGCCGTTCGCGTTTAGTCGTCATCATCATTATTCTTGGTTCTTTCGGTAAAGTCACGTAGAATTCTCACGACGTTTCGAAACGTCGTGAGAATTTTATTGTTTTATATTTGTATTATTTTATTGTTTCCCTTCTTAGTGACTTTACCGAAAGAACCAAGAATATGAATCCCTGCAGCCACGAAAGCTTTAAATCAAAAATCTTCATCATTATCGTCGTCCCTGTAATTGTATTTGTCTCGGCCTAGTGGCTATCCGGGAGCCTACCTCCTCGCCGGGAGCCTACCTCCTCGCCTGATGCGTGCCCCCCCCCCCCTCCCACTGAGTAGGCAACAACGAGCTGATCCGCCAGGTGATGTTCGACGCGGTGGTGTCGGCCCCGCTGGAGGCCTACTGGACCAACCTCATGCTCAACAAGTCCCAGTGAGCGGCACTCGCACACTCGCCGTGATGAACGCTGGCCCCAACAGAGCCACCAACTCTAACCCTAACCCCAACCCTAAACATAACCTTAACATGACCTTAATCCAAACCTAATCTTAACCTAACCCCAACCCAGGCCTAATCCAACCTTAACCCCAATCCAACTCTAACCATAACCTGAATTCCAGTCCTAACCCAAACCTAACTCTAACCCAACTCTAACCCCAACCCAGCCCTAACCAAACCTTAATCATTACCCCAACCCAGCCCAGCCCTAACGCTATACCTAAACCAACTCTAAACATAACCTTAATGCCAGCTCTAACTAAACCCAACTCTAACCTAACCTTAACCCCAATCCAAACCCAAACCTAATCTTAACTCAACCCTAAACCAACCCAACCCTTCCCTAATTCAAGCCCTAATCCAACTTCAACCATAACTCGACCCAGCCCTAACCCAATCCTAATCCATCCCTAACCCCAACCCTAATCCAACCCTATCCCAACCCTAACTCATCCCTAACCCCAACCCTAACCCATCCCTAACCAATCCCTTACACTAACCTCGCCGCCGTGTGCCCGGTGGCGACTGCCTTTTGGATGCTGGCGCATGCAGGAACCTGGAGCTGGGCGTCGAGCAGGCCTTCCTCGGGACACGGTCGGGGCTCCTGAGGAAAGCCGAGTTCCTGGGATCGGAGAAGATCACCGACAGGTTGAGGCCAAACCCGCACCGGCCGCACCCTGCGATGAACCCCCTGGCATGCGCGTGCGGTGCCGGCGTAGGGACCTCGTGGCGCGCGTTTGTTCCTTTCTTCTGCTGGCAGGGCCTAAACTAAACCTACTAAACGACCCTTTGTTATCTCAAGTCAGGTAGCCAGCTGAGCTACGTTGGCTCATTTTTCCTACAAGCAAATTATCGCAGCCGAACAGAGTGGCGGCTCGTCGTCACCATCACCACCGACCACCACCACCACGTGGGGATTTACAGCGGCGGCCGAATACTCTCTGAGGGCGCGACATGGGTTCTAAATGTGGGTTCTAAATGTGGGTTCGAAATGTGGGAGGGGATAAACCGGAGGGACCTGGGGAAAAATCCACGCGGCCACAGGGAGAGAGAGAGACACACACACTCCAAATATTCAGCGAGCGTGAGGGTTGGGATCGAACCCATGACCTCCTGCATACCTGGCGAAGTAGTTAACATCTTGCCACCCGAGCCAAGCCTGTGTCTCGGTGCGGTTGACTGTGCAGTTGTCGTGGTGTGGCTGGCTGTGTGGGTGTCATGGTGCAGCTGACTATGCGGGTGTCATGGTGGGGCTGGCTGTGCGGGTGTCGTGGTGCGGCTGGATGTGCGGGTGTCGTGGTGCGGCTGGAGGTGTGGGTGTTGTGGTACGGCTGCATGTGTGGGTATGGTGGTGTGGCTGGACTGTGCGGGCGTGGTGGTGTTGTCTCTGGTCAAGAGATTTCCTGACGGACGACCAGAAGGACACCCTCTTCACGGTGGAGCGTTTCCCCCTATGGTTCCGGCGTGCCAGCGCTCTGCCGCCCGGCAACTTCATCTACTCAGTGCCCTTCAAGGCCGGTGGGAGCGCCACCACCACCGCTGCCACCACCACTGCCACCGCCAGCAGCACCACCACAGCCACCACCACCCCATCGCTGCCACCACCGCCACCACTACCACCGCCAGCAGTACCACCACAGCCACCACCACCCCATCACAGCCACCACCGCTACCACCACCGCCACTGCCACCATCACCACCACCACCACCACCGCCACCTCCACCACCACAACCACCGCCATCACCACAACCACCATCCACACCCCCACAACCACCACCGCCACCACCACTGCAAACGCTGCAAACACCACAACAACTACCACCACCACCAGCCATGTGAGAATCATCTGCTCTCTGCAGTAACCCTCATCCCCCTTCCCCCCAGGCACCACCAACAGGAGCACGGTGGTGACTGCCAGCACAGCGATCACCGTGTCGGCAAACCGGCGCATGGCCACAGCCGCCGGTGATACCAGCAGGGACATCACCGCACCAGCACCGCACCAGCACCGCCTTACAAACACCTCAGCGCCATCTCCACCGTGCCATGACCACACCACCACACAATCACAAACAGTGGTGATGGTGGGAAGTCCGTGGAAGAGGGAGTGAAGGCAGGAGATGTTGTAGCTGGCCCTGCTGGTGATGGTGGGAAGCCAGTGGAGGAGGGAGTGGAGGCAGGAGATGTTGTAGATGGCCCTGCTGGTGATGGAGGGAAGCCAGTGGAAGAGGGAGTGGAGGCAGGAGATGTTGTAGCTGGCCCTGCTGGTGATGGATGCGATCGAATGTTTTTTGAAGCCGGTGGGGGTATCCCGGTGTCACTCGATGAGGAGTGAACAATGGACGAAGTGGCAGTGGTGGGGGCGTGACCTCCCCCCTCCTCGACTAAGCCACGGGCGAGGCTGTTGGCGAATCCCGCGGTGATGCGTGGACATAGATAACGGGTGGCCGTCAATGAATAAGACGGCATGGTGAGTGACCTCACGCGGTCGGAGATACTTGCGTTGCCCTTGTACTGTTCATCTTTTGGCGTTCTGACACCAGTGAGACAAGGCCAATGCATATATTACCAGGGCATGTTTTGCCACCGTTCTGCGTGGTTAATGCAGACTTGATGATGCCTTATAATAGGCATCTAATTGGCATTTGAGCATAATAAACACCTATCGTTCTATTGACAAGAAGGGTAAAGTCTATTTTTAGCGTAGGATCGATGGGTGGTCCCGTTGTGAGACCGAGTGGCGAGGCGGCGGCTTGAGGGAGGAGCCTTCACCCAGTAGTGGATGGAGCATAGCTGATGATGCTAATGTATGATAGAAGCGAGGAGTCTTCTTGGGGGAGGTTCGAGGGGAGTTGGGGGTTGGGGGCTTGATCCAGCAGTGGATTGAGCACGGCAGCAGCTGCTGCTGCTGACGACGACGGCGGCGGTGCCGGTGTTGGCGATGGACGTCAGTAACTTCGAGTGCGTGGTGTCAATGTGGGTTGTTGTTTGATTGTTGTTGTTGTTGTCGTCGTCATTGTGTCAGTGGTTGGGATACAGATGAAGCTCGACTATTTCCAGCAGAAATTCTGGACGGCGACAAAACAGGTTGGTCCCTGCGACAATGACAAAGATATCTCTCCTCCCCTCCCACTGGGACCACGGGCTCTCTCTCCTCCGGCTAAGGGTGACCTAAGGGAGGCTACACTGACCCGACCCAGCCAAGGTACGGGTCCCGACTACTGGCCCACTCGGTCCCGGTCCTTACAAGGACGTTGGGACCTGGGGGTTCCCAGGGTCTCACCACTGGCCCACTCAGTCCCGGCCCTTAGAAGGGCAGCGGATCTAGGGGTTCCCAGGGTCCTAGGCTAGCTGGTCTTCTGGCTTCAGTCTTCGGACTAGCCCCGGACTCGTCCAGAGGTCCGGCTTTTATACACCTCCCCAGGTGTGTCCACCCTGGCCACGCCTCCCTTTCAGCGAGTTCCAGGGAGGGTTTCGGGGGATTCTAGAACACTCCGCAGCCCCGCCTGCTTTGGGGCTGTGGAATGTAGCGACCCTCATGCCGGTCAAAGTTACTGCCCCTGGTGGGCCCTGTCTGCTACTGCAGGTAAGTACACGTAGCCCATTTACAGCGCTACATCTGTAAGGGGCAAGTTCCGCTGGCCACCAGCACCCCGGTTAAGGCCGGCACGGCTTGCAATGGAGGTGGTGCGGCCGTGAAAAAAAAAAAACGCACCCGGGGCACCTTTGTCTCCCCCATGCTAACGGGTACACACGGCAGCAGTGGAACAGATGTCGAAGGCTGAGGTCGACCTAAGGAGCGACTGGCCCTGGACTGGTTCAGAAAGAGTCGCCACTGATGAGAGTCGAACTCGGGGAGGGGGGGTTGGGGGTTCTCTGGAGGGTTCGCAGGGCGCCAACCGTTGCACCGCCACTCGCTGGGCATCGGACGCAGACACACGGTCTGCGCCTGAAGACGAGTGGCGCGGCTTTCTAATGGAACTTGGAGTCGAATTGCCCTCCACCACCCGACGCAGCCAAAACTAATCAAATTGTCACGCTGTGCACTAGCACCAGTCTGCTATGCGTGGTGAAGGGGCGATGATTGCCACTGCTGCTGCTGTGTGTATTATCCCCATTGAGAAATTAGCCGTGGAACTTTTCCGAACTTTGGCCTACTCCTCCTCTTGCGAGCGTAGTCGCGGGGGTGGGGTTGGGAGATCTTGAGCTTGCGCCACGCGCTGAGTAGACAGGTGGCAGCGCGGCCGCTGGGGCACAGCCGCCGCAGTGGTGACCAGGGCGGCCTGCTCGAGTCGAGCCGCCACGGCACGCTGGCATCAAACCACCCCCAGTGCTTTTATTTGATTTCTGATTTATTTCTCCCACCCGCTATGATTGATGTGATCTCCCAACCGCTATGATTGATTTGACCTCCAACCCGCTATGATTGATTTGACCTCCAACCCGCTATGATTGATTTGACCTCCCACCCGCTTGATTGATTTGACCTCCCACCCGCTATGATTGATTTGACCTCCCACCCGCTATGATTGATTTGACCTCCAACCCACTATGATTGATTTGACCTCCAACCCGCTATGATTGATTTGACCTCCAACCCGCTATGATTGTTTTGACCTCCAACCCGCTATTATTGATTTGACCTCCCACCTGCTATTATTGATTTGATTTCCCACCTGCTATTATTGATTTGATTTCTGATTTAATTTCCCACCCACTATTATTGATTAGATACCCACCCGCAATTATTGGTTTTGCGCTCTCCATCTCGCGACGTGTCTTATGATTGTGTTTGCTGTCAACTCATGATTACCACTCCCCCCCCCCCCGCTGCTCGCATGCCTCAACCCCCCCCACACCACCCACCACACCACCCCCCCACCTTCCGCTGTGTGGCCGCCGATTGCTCCTCCTCCTCCTCCACTGCTCTGCATGCGCCCAGCGTGACGACGCCGATGTGAGTAGCGCCATCGCCTGCCGCCATCATCGTCATCGCCATCATCGTTGTCATCCTCATCATTGTCGTCATCGTCAATGTCGTCGTCATTGTTGTCATCGTCATCATCCTCGTCATTGTTGCCATCGTTGTCATAGTCATCATCATCGTCGTCGTCATTGTCGTCATAGTCATCATCGTCATCATGGTCAACATCGTCATCATCGTTGTAATAGTCATCGTCATTATCATCATCATCGTCGTCGTCAGTCATCATCATTGTCATCAGTCATCATAATCGTCGTCATAGTCATCATCATCATGGTCATCACGGTCATCATCGTCATCATCGTTGTCATCACCGTCCTCATCGTCCTCATCATTGATGAGAGCCCCCCCAGCCCCCACCACCCAACTGAAAACCACCCCCACCTCATCGTGCACCAGAGAGCCCACTGCTCCATGGATGAGCCATGGTTGTGATTGGTTAATTGATCAGCTCTTCGATTGAACTATTTAATAAGTGATTGGCTCGTTCATTGATTCATACTTTATTCTATTAAAATTATGTATCGGCTTGTTAATTGGTTCATTATTTAATTGATTGATTTGCTAGTTACTTGATTGGCACTTTAATTGATTTAATGTATTGAATGATTGATTGGCTAGTTAATTGATTTGTGCTTTAATTGATTGAGTAATCAATTGACGAATTTATTTATTCTTTAATTGATTGAATTGGTGATTTGCTCATTAATTGATGAGAGCTTTAATTGATCACGCGATTGATTGTCTCGTTAATTGATTCGACCTTTGCTTGATTGAACGATGAATCAGGCTGAATCGCTTCGTTAAATCGCTCCTCCCCTCCCTCCTCCCCCCCCCCACCTCCCCGTTATCGTCCTCACAGTGCACAACGGTCGACGGGAAGTGCCCCATCAGCATGGACGATGAGGTGAGGCTCACGATGAGGTGAGGCTCACGATGAGGTGAGACTCACGAGGCCACGAGAGTGAGAGAGTGCGGCCAAACCCGGGAGCCGCCACCTCGCTCAGCCCCCCACTTAGACCCCACTCAGCCCCCCATTCAGCCCTCCGCTTAGCCCCCCACGCCCCCCCCTGCGGTCCCTTGCTGAACGGGGGGCTGATGGGGGGCTGAGTGGGCGGTTGAGCGGAGGACTGAGCGGAGTGGCGGGCAGAGCGGGGGCTGAATGGAGGGCTGAGCGGGGGGCTTAGCGGGGGGCTGAGTGGGGGGCATGGCGAATGGTGAGTCCAGACTCGAGGTTGTTTTTGTTTGTGTGTGTAGGTCGTGTGAATATGAACGCGTCACTAAACCCGCCACCGCCATGCCACCCAACACAGCCAATCAGTATGGCGGTTTGTCATGTAAATGAAAACGTGGCCGATTCGTTACCAGTTCAGCACTAACTGCGCATGTGCCGGAGAGGAGTAAACCCACTGCACAACATTTACAATTTGAGTGACCGTGACGTTTCTCCGGGAATTACAACAACAGCCAGCATGGTCAGGCGACAGCCAGAGAGTTGTGGAGAAATCCTTCCGTTAAAATGTGCAGATGTGCAGCCCCTTGCGATTGCCGAACGGGGCGGGGTGGGGGAGCAGAGAGGGAGCAATGCTCTATCCCGTGTAGACAGAACAGGGTACCTACCGCCTTCTCCCTGGGAGACACAGGGGAACGGCTCCGGGTAGGAGGGAGTAAGATGGAACAGATGGAGATTAGTCCACACACTCTGCTGTACCGCCCTCTCCTGGAGGAGCCAGGGGAACGGCTCTTCCTCGACCCACCCACACGGGGAGGGAGTCTCACAATAACGTCTGTACGTGATCCACCAACCCTCACCGCTGTGTCCACAGAGCTGGACCAGAGGCTCTCCCCCGCAGCGCCACAGCCGCCCCGTGGGGTCACTCCACCCCCGGGAGGGGCGGAGCTCCCCCAGCTGTCAATCAAACGAACGAGATTCAGTCGATGGCACTGCCATTGACTGGAGGTTCCAGACTCTGGATACAGACCGATGAGTTAATGATGGTAGTGGTGTTGATGATGGTGGTGGTGTTGATGATGGTGGTGGTGTTGATGATGGTGGTGTTGACGACGGTAGTGGTGTTGATGATGGTGGTGGTGTTGATGCTGGTGATGATGACAATGATGATGTTGACAATGATGGTGTTGACGACGACGATGATGACGATGGCAGTGTTGTGTGCCGTTTCCCACCAGAATCTCCGATGCTACCTCATCGACAACAACGGCTACATAATGGTCTCCAAGTCGTACGAGGAGGTGAGACCCTCGCTCCTCCTCGCCCCACGGCGACAGCCCCAGCGCCCGCGGCCCAGCGTCGGGAATCTCCATTCCACCCCTTCCCTTCCGTCCCGCCTGTATCGGGCATCGAGCCGTGCACACCTCCTGTCCAGCAGCAGCAGCGGCAGCAGCGGTGGGGGCGGTGGCGGTGGTGAGGAGCCGCTGCCACCAACACTGTTGCCCAAGCTCTGTGGTCCTTTACATACGGAGGCACGTGTCGCGTGAGTGACTGTCACCGTGGTGCAAGGGGAGCGGTGGCGCAGCGGTGACCGCTCCGAACCGGTCCGGAGCCTCCCCCCAGGTCGACTCGGCCTAAAATTGGGCACCGTGGGCGGCATGTCGGAAACATCGCCACTGGGGGAGACAAAGGCGGCGGGCGTGGTGCTGGCCACCCCCACGGCCTTCATTAGTGCTGCAACTCGCTACGTGGCACTTGCCCCGACGGTCTGTGTGGCCTACACGGGGGATCTTTGTCTTTGTTTGTTGTTCCCCCCCCCCCTTGTGAGTTAGACGGGACGATTCCTCGGGGAGGTCGACGGCACCGTGATGAAGAAGCTTCTGACCATGGGGATATTCCAGCGGTAGGAACGAAGAGCACATCACCATCATCATCACCATCATCAGCAGCAGCAGCGTCATCATCAGCAGCAGCAGCGTCATCAACATCGTCATCATCATCAACAGCGTCATCATCATGGGCAGTCATCAGCAGCGTCAACATCAGCAGCGTCATCATCAGCAACAGGATCATCATCATCATCAGCAACAGGGTCATCATCATCAGCACCATCATCATCAACAGCAGCGTCATCATTATCAACAGCATCAGCGTCATCATCATCAACAGCAGCAGCGTCATGATCATGATCATCAACAGGGAGACAGACAGACACACACACACAGACAGACACACACAGAGACAGACAGACACACAGAGAGACAGACACACAGAGACAGAAAGACACAGAGACAGACAGACACACACAGAGACACACAGAGACAGACAGACACATACTGAGACAGACAGACGGACACACACAGAGACAGACAGACAGACACACAGAGAGACAGACAGACAGATACACAGAGAGACAGACAGACACACAGACAGACAGACAGACACACACAGAGACAGACAGACACACAGAGAGATAGACAGAGAAACAGACAGAGAGGCAGACACACACAGAGACAGACAGACAAACAGAGAGACAGACAGAGAGACACACAGAGAGACCGACAGACACACAGAAAGACAGACAGACAGACACACACAGAGACAGAAAGACACACAGAGAGACGGACAGACAGATACACAGAGAGACAGGCAGAGAGACAGGCATAGAGACACACAGAGAGACAGACAGACACACAGACAGACAGACACACAGATAGACACACAGAGAGACAGACAGACACAGAGGGATGACGTGCGTGTGTCCGCAGGGTGACGCTCTACGACTTCCAGGCCATGTGCCGCCTCGTGCCGGACTCGCACTCGAGCAGGGCCGGACTCAGCGTGCCCACGGTGAGCGTACACAACCACCACCAGCACAACCACCACCACCAGCACTACCACAACCACTAGCACCACCACAACTATCACCACCAGCAAAAGCACCACCACCAGCACAACCACCACCAGCACTACCACAAGCACTAGCACCTTCACCACCACAACTATCACCACAACCACCAGCACAACCACCACAACCACCAGCACTTTCCCAACCAGCACAACTACCAGCACGAGTACCACCACCACCAGCAGCACAACCACTAGCACTACCACCACCAGCACTACCACCACCAGCCCTACCACAATAACTAGCACCATCACCACCACAACTATCACAACCACCAGCACAACTACCAGCAATACCACAAGTTCCAGCACTACCACAAGCACTAGCACCATCACCACCACAACTATCACCACCACCAACACAAACACCACCACCAGCACAACCACCACCAGCACTACCACAAGCACTAGCACCATCACCACCACAACTATCACCACAACCACCAGCACTACCACCACAACCACCAGCACTTTCCCAACCAGCACAACTAACAGCACGAGTACCACCACCACCAGCAGCACGACCACTAGCACTACCACCACCAGCACTACCACAAGCACTAGCACCATCACGACCACAATTATCACAACCACCACCACCAGCAGCACAACCACTAGCGCTACCACCACCAGCCCTACCACCACCAGCACAACCACCAGCGCTACCACCAGCACAACCACCACCAGCGCTACCACCAGCACAACTACCACCACTAGCGCTACCACCACCCTTTTGGTCTCTTGCTCCACACCCCATGTGTGCATGGGTGTGTGCGCGTGTGTGCATGCGTGAGTGTGTGAGTGTGTGCATGGGTGTGTGCGCGTGTGTGCATGCGTGAGTGTGTGTATGCGTGAGTGTTTGGTATGTGTGTGTATACGTGAGGGTGTGAGTGTGTGAGTGTGTGAGTGTGTGTATACGTGAGTGTGTGAGTGTGTGTATACGTGAGGGTGTGAGTGTGTGTATACGTGAGTGTGTGAGTGTGTGTATACGTGAGGGTGTGAGTGTGTGTATACGTGAGGGTGTGAGTGTGTGTATACGTGAGGGTGTGAGTGTGTGTATACGTGAGGGTGTGAGTGTGTGTATGTATGTGTGAGTGTGTGTATGCGTGAGTATGTGAGTGTGTGTATGCGTGAGTGTGTGAGTGTGTGTATGCGTGAGGGTGTGAGTGTGTGTATACGTGAGGGTGTGAGTGTGTGTATGCGTGAGTGTGTGTATGCGTGAGTGTGTGAGTGTGTGTATGTGTGAGGGTGTGAGTGTGTGTATGCGAGAGTGTGTGTATGTGTGAGGGTGTGAGTGTGTGTATGCGTATCATGCGGAGCGGGAGTGTAGCGCTTAGCGCCCAACACCAGTGACGATTATCTGAAGCGGTCCTGGGCCTCCCTTAGGTCGACTCAGCCTCAAATGGAGTACCCGGTGTGGTGTGTAAACATCGCTGCTGGGGAGACAAAGGCGGCCAGCCGCAGTGCTGGCCACCGACCTCCTCGTGTGCCGCGCCGGCCTTCATCGGCGCTACTCGCTCACAGCACTTGCCCCAGCAGTCTGTCGAGGCTACACGTGGGATCTTTGTGTTTGTTTCTGTGCGAGTCTGCAGCCCTATCAGTCTCTCTCCGCGTTGGTCAAGTGGCTCATCACAGAGCTCGCCATGTGAGTGTCATCATCATGATCACCATCATCATAATCACCATGATCATCATCATCATCGCCGCCATCATTACCATCACCATCATCATGATAATGATCATCACCATGATCACAATCATCATTATCATCACCATGATCACCATCGTCATCACCACCATCTCAAAACCATCTTAACACCATCTCAAAACCATCTTAACACCACCCTTAGACTCAACACCGCCTGTAGACTCTACACTGCCCATAGATTAACACTGCCCATAGACTCAACACTCCCCATAGACTCCACACTGTCATAGACTCAACACTGTCATAGACTCAACACTGCCCGTAGACTCCACACTGTCATAGACTCAACACTGCCCATAGACTCAACACTGCCCATAGACTAACACTACCCATAGACTCAACACTCCCCATAGACTCCACGCTGTCATAGACTCAACACTGCCTATAGACTAACACTACCCATAGACTCAGCACTACCCACAGACTCAACACTCCCCATAGACTCCACACTGTCATAGATTCAACACTGTCCATATACTAACACTGCCCATAGACTCAACACTGCCCATAGACTCAGCACTACCCATAGACTCAACACTGCCCATAGACTCAACACTGCCCATAGACTCAACACTGCCCATAAACTCAGCACTACCCATAGACTCAACACTGCCCATAGACTCAACACTGCCCATAGACTCAACACTGCCCATAGACTCAACACTGCCCATAGACTCAACACTGCCCATAGACTCAACACTGCCCATAGACTCAGCACTAGACATAGACTCAACACTGCACATAGACTCAGCACTAGACATAGACTCAACACTGCCCATAGACTCAGCACTAGACATAGACTCAACACTGCCCATAGACTCAGCACTAGACATAGACTCAAGGATGTTAACATCTCCTAGCCACCGTGGCGCCCACACTCGTTTCTAAGCACTTGCACAACGACTTGTGTTGCACATGTCAAAGCTACGTTACATAGAGTGCTCTCATCACCACCACCATCACCACCATCATCATCCCCATTATCATCACCATCATCATCACCATCACCACCATCATCACCATTACCACCACCATCATCACCACCACCATCACCAAAATCATCATGATAACCACCGCCAGCACCACCACCAACACCACCACCACCATCACCACCACCGCCATCATCATCACCACCACTACCACCTTCACCACCACCATCACCACCATCACCACCACCACCATCATCACCACCACCACTACCACTTTCACCACCACCATCACCACCACCATCACCACCATCATCATCATAACCACCGCCACCACCACCACCATCATCACCACCACCACCACCATCACCACCACCACTACCACCTTCACCATCACCACCACCATCACCGCCGCTGTGGTTGACCGAGCGGCGGTGCCCACGGTGCCTCTCCCCACAGGCTGGTGTTGGAGTTCAACTTGTCAGGCCTGTGGAGGCCCGAGCACGCCGCGACAGGTGCGTCACGCGGAATCCGATGAGCTACGAAGCTCTTTGTTCGCTGTCGTCCAAGATAACTTATACACGGGGTGGCCCAAAAGTCAGGACACATCGGGTTAATGTGATTCTTATACGGGGTGTCAGTGTGCATGACTAAATCTAAAATTGAGTACCTGGTGCGGCATCAAGATCGCCACTGGGGAGACAAAGGCGGCCGGGCTTGGTGCTGGCTACCCACCCCTTCGTGTACCATGCCGGCCTTAATAGGTGCTCGCTAACAACACTTGTGCCAACAGTCTGTTACAGGTTATACGGGAGATCTTTGTCTATGTGTGCTGAGCCTGTCCCGCTGTGTTAACCCCGCCCATTTCTGTGTCGGCTGCACTTGTAACCTCCCGGCGTGCGTCTCTGCTGTGTCCCATTTATCCCATTTCACTCCGCCACCTCCATCCTCCATCCAGCCGCAAAGTTCTACAACTCCCGTGAGTAACGGACACGTCGCCACAAGTCTGCGTGCGCATCTCCGCACACACACACGCACACTGATACACAACAACATTAACCGCCATTCACCACTAAGTGGCGGTGACGTCACCGCAGCGCTTGTGCCAGGCCAGGTGCAATTTGAGGCCACGTGAAGTGGTGAAGGCTCACTGCTGGCAGGAGGTCACGGGACAGACCCAGGTGCCATGAGTTGACTGATTGAAATTAATGAAAGATACACCAGCTGTAACCCCTATTGTGTCAACTTGCTGTGCTTTAGCCACCCGGCGCTCCGCTCGTTGTTGTGAGGGTCGCTCCTCCACCCTCCGTTGTTGTTGGAGGGCGACTGCCTCCAACTGCCCAGTAGCGTCCTTCACGAGCCTCCTCCACGGAGGCCGATCTTAACACCACTGGTACCAGTCTTCGGCAAGTCCACTCAGCTCCAAATCCTCCTGTATTGCATCAGTCCATCCAAACAGAAGCTGATTGGGGTATACAGTGGCTGGCAGGGGCGGAGCCAGGATTTTGACTTTGGAGGGGCTGACTTCAATATCCTGAGATATCCAAGTGTATGTTTTCCAATGGGCGCCACAAATGTATAAAACTAATTTTATTGGATTTGAACGCGGAGTTTATTAATAGGTCGGAGCCGCTGATGTGGCTAATAAGTTCGATAAGTTCGAAAGGCTGCCGCTCAAGCAGCCTGCAGGGCAGCACAAGGTGGCAGCCAGCAGGGCAGCACAAGGTGGCAGCCAGCAGGGCAGCACGAGGTGGCAGCCTGCAGGGCAGCACACAAGGTGGCAGCCTGCAGGGCAGTACACAAGGTGGCAGCCTGCAGGGCAGCACAAGGTGGCAGCCTGCAGGGCAGCACAAGGTGGCAGCCTGCAGGGCAGCACACAAGGTGGCAGCCTGCAGGGCAGCACACAAGGTGGCAGCCTGCAAGGCAGCACAAGGTGGTAGCCTGCAGGGCAGCACACAAGGTGGGAGCCTGCAGGGCAGCACACAAGGTGGCAGCCTGCAGGGCAGCACAAGGTGGCAGCCTGCAGGGCAGCACAAGGTGGCAGCCTGCAGGGCAGCACGAGGTGGCAGCCTGCAGGGCAGCACAAGGTGGCAGCCTGCAGGGCAGCACACAAGGTGGCAGCCTGCAGGGCAGCACACAAGGTGGCAGCCTGCAGGGCAGCACAAGGTGGTAGCCTGCAGGGCAGCACACAAGGTGGGAGCCTGCAGGGCAGCACACAAGGTGGCAGCCTGCAGGGCAGCACAAGGTGGCAGCCTGCAGGGCAGCACAAGGTGGCAGCCTGCAGGGCAGCACGAGGTGGCAGCCTGCAGGGCAGCACAAGGTGGCAGCCTGCAGGGCAGCACAAGGTGGCAGCCTGCAGGGCAGCACAAGGTGGCAGCCTGCAGGGCAGCACACAAGGTGGCAGCCTGCAGGGCAGTACACAAGGTGGCAGCCTGCAGGGCAGCACAAGGTGGCAGCCAGCAGGGCAGCACGAGGTGGCAGCCTGCAGGGCAGCACAAGGTGGCAGCCTGCAGGGCAGCACGAGATGGCAGCCAGCATTTTGCAGCAGCCGGATATCCGGTTATCCCGATTACCGACTTTCTCAAAATTTTAGGGGGGGCTAATCTCCCCGCAGCCCCCCCTGTGGCTCCGCCCCTGGTGGCTGGGCATGCGGGCTACATGTTCTAGCCAACGCAGCCTTGCCCTCCAGGGGAGCTCACTGATGGGAATGTGTCTAGATTTTTCAAGGATCTGTGAGCGCCTCACACAATCCAGCCTGGTTAAAACCTGGTTAAAACCAGGCTGGATCGTAGGCAGGCCAGCCTAAATATTTCTAACCGGCACAGATGTTTCATTAGAAAGGTCCACGTTTGACAAGCGTAGAGAAGGGAGAGCATGACTGTGGCCGAGAAGACCCGAAGCTTAGTTTGGAGCGACAGACCAGGTCGCTTTCACACATCGTTACGCAGCCAATGAAAAGACAATGCTGCTCGGCTGATTCTGAGTGAGACCTCTGCTGTCAAACTGGAGTTGGTCCTAAGCACACTGTCCAAGTATGGGAAATTCTTCACTCTCCCCACAACTGCTTCATCACCACACAGACAAAGACAAAAATCCCCCGTATAGCCTTAAAGCCTGTTTGGGCAAGTGCTGTTAGCAAGAAACTATGAAGAGCGGTACGGCTCACGATGGGGTGGGTGGCCAACGCAACGCACGACCGCCTTTGTCTCCCCAGTGGCAATGTTTACCACACCGCACCAGGTACTAATTTGAGGCTGAGTCGAACTAGGGGAGGTCCAGAACCGTTTCAGATAATCCATCACTGGTGTTGGCCATAAGCAGGAATCAAACTTGAGTCGCCGGGTTCGTAGCACAACGCGTCAACCACCGCTCCCCACACAGACAAGCACAGACACGGCAACACAGACACGCAGACATCTCTTCTATAGCCTGAAGAGACTCCCACACACACAGACACACCACTACTCTCTACCAGAGCTCACCGCTCACCCAACCAACTGCCCATTCCACCCATCGCATTCCAAATCCTCCCTCCCTCACCCATACCATGTGTCTTCCTTTCTCTTTTTTTAACCACAGTATTCGCTGAGCTCAAAATGCCAAGCAGCCAGCAACAAACAGCACTATCTTTAAAGTTGGAATGGGCGATCAGTGTGTACCACGCGATTTTTAATCGCCGCTGTGTTTTAACGATCGTGGGAGGTGCTATGTCTGGATCTAAACGAATGCAACGTGATGGTGTAGTGGGGCAGGAGTGCAAGATTTGCCCTTGAATCACTGAGCAGCACCGAGTGGCACCGAGTGGCACGCGGACCGAGTGGCACTGAGTGGCACTGAGTGGCACCGAGTGGCACGCGGACCGAGTGGCACCGAGTGGCACTGATTGGCACCGAGTGACACCGAGTGGCACCGAGTGGCACCGAGTGGCACTGAGTGGCACTGAGTGGCACCGAGTGGCACCGAGTGGCACTGAGTGGCACTGAGTGGCACCGAGTGGCACCGAGTGGCACGCAGACTGAGTGGCACTGAGTGGCACTGAGTGGCACCGAGTGGCACCGAGTGGCACGCAGACTGAGTGGCACTGAGTGGCACCGAGTGGCACCGAGTGGCACCGAGTGGCACTGAGTCTGACACGGACCGAGTGGCACTGAGTGGCACTGAGTGGCACTGAGTGGCACTGAGTGGCACCGAGTGGCACCGAGTGGCACGCAGACTGAGTGGCACTGAGTGGCACCGAGTGGCACTGAGTGGCACTGAGTGGCATTGAGTCTGACACGGACCGAGTGGCACTGAGTGGCACGTGGTGGTGGTGGTGATTGCGGTAACGACTAATCACGGTAGTAATGATTGCCATCTTAATTTTGAGTGTTTTTTTTCATTCTGTCACAACACTGGATCAACGCTGGATTATTATTGCATCAATACTTGATCGACATTGAATCGACACTGGATCGACGCTGGATCAATACTGGATGGATAATTGACTGACGCTGAAACGACGCTGGATCTATACTGGATGGGCGATGTATCAATACTGGATCAATACTTAATCGACGCTCGATGGACGACTGATCGCCGGGGCACTGGGACGGGCGCTCAGCCCAAAAGGTGCGCCGGCAGGACCTGCTGCAGCCGTGCCACAAGCAGTACCCAGCGTTCAGCGCAGCGCCCACGCTCAAGGAGAACAGCGGCGTCATCGACTGCGGCGACTGTGAAAGGTCGAGATGCCTGTCCGCTCGTCCACCTGTTTGTTCGCTTAGTCGCTTGCTCGTTCAATCAGTTGCTCGCACGCCTGCCTGCTCGCCCGTTCACGTATTCGTTCACTCACTCAGCTACCCGCTCACCCGCCCGCTCACTCGCTCGCTCGGCCGCCCGCTCGCCCGTTCACTCATTCTCTCAATCGCTCGGCCGCCCGCTCGCCCACCCGCTTGTTCGCTCATTCGCTCGCTCACTTGCTCGTTCATTAATTCGCTCATTCGCCCGCTAACCCATTCACTCATTTGTTCCCTCTCTTGCCCACCCGTTCGCCCACCCACTTCTTCGCTCATTTGCTCGTTCATTCATTCGCTCATTCACTCTCTCGCACACTGGCTCTTTCACTGATTCGCTCACTCGCCCGTCCGCTCATTCGCTCACTCGCTCACGCATTCATTCATCGATCACTCACTCGCCCATTCACTCATTCGCTCACTCGCCCACCCGCTTCTTCACGCATTCGCTCATTCACTTGCTCGCACTTTCACTGACTCCTTCATTTACTCGTTGGCTCACTCGTTCACTCGCTTGTTTACTCGTTTGTTCACTTATTATTTCGCTCATTCGATCGTTTATTGCCCCAACAGTCTGTTAAGGCTACACGGGGGACCTTTGCCGGCGTGCGTGTCTTTGTGTGTGTGTGTGGGTGTCAGGATGTTTGTGATCCAGCAGGTGCCCGGCAGTAACCTGCTGCTGCTCGTGGTGGACACGGAGTGCCGCTGTGACAACATGTTCAGGATGGGCTTGCACCCCGTCGAGATAAAGCATATCCTCTCTCAGCCGCTCGCAGGCCTCTGCGCGTCCTCACGTCTCCGCGTGTCCCTGTGTCACTGTGTCACTGTGTCTCCGTGTCACTCTGTCACTGTGTCCCCGTGTCAATGTGTCACTGTGTCTCCGTGTCACTCAGTCACTGTGTCCCCGTGTCACTGTCTCACTGTGTCACTCTGTCACTGTGTCATTGTGTCCCCGTGTCACTCTGTCACTGTGTTACTGTGTCACTGTGTCACTCTGTCACTGTGTCATTGTGTCCCCGTGTCACTCTGTCACTGTGTCCCCGTGTCACTCTGTCACTGTGTCACTTTGTCACTGTGTCTCCGTGTCACTCTGTCCCCGTGTCACTCTGTCACTGTGTCCCCGTGTCACTGTGTCCCCGTGTCACTGTGTCACTCTGTCACTGTGTCCCTTTGTCACTGTGTCACTGTGTTACTGTGTCACTGTGTCCCCTTGTCACTGTGTCCCTGTGTCACTGTGTCACTGTGTCACTGTGTATCCGTGTCACTCTGTCACTGTGTCCCCGTGTCACTGTGTCACTCTGTCACTGTGTCACTGTGTCACTCTGTCACTGTGTCATTGTGTCACTCTGTCACTGTGTCCCTTTGTCACTCTGTCACTGTGTCACTCTGTCACTGTGTCACTCTGTCACTCTGTCACTGTGTCCCCTTGTCACTGTGTCACTGTGATACTGTGTTACTGTGTCACTGTGTTACTGTGTCACTGTGTCACTCTGTCACTGTGTCCCCGTGTCACTGTGTTACTGTGTTACTGTGTCACTGTGTCACTGTCACTGTGTCCCCTTGTCACTGTGTCACTGTGTTACTGTGTCACTGTGTTACTGTGTCACTGTGTCACTCTGTCACTGTGTCCCCGTGTCACTGTGTCACTGTGTTACTGTGTCACTGTGTTACTGTGTCACTGTGTTACTGTGTCACTCTGTCACTCTGTCACTGTGTCCCCTTGTCACTGTGTCACTGTGTTACTGTGTCACTGTGTTACTGTGTCACTCTGTCACTGTGTCACTGTCACCGTGTCACTGTGTCACTGTTACTGTGTCACTGTGTCACTGTATCACTGTGTCCCCTTGTCACTGTGTCACTGTGTACCCGTGTCACTCTGTCACTGTGTCACTCTGCCACTGTGTCACTGTGTTACTGTTTCACTGTGTCACTGTGTCCCCTTGTCACTCTGTCACTACTGTCACTGTGTCACTGTGTCTCCGTGTCACTGTGTCTCCGTGTCACTCTGTCACTGTGTCACTGTGTCACTCTGTCACTGTGTCACTCTGTCACTGTGTCCCTTTGTCACTGTGTCACTGTGTTACTGTGTCACTGTGTCACTGTATCACTGTGTCCCCTTGTCACTGTGTCACTGTGTCACTCTGTCACTGTGTCACTCTGCCACTGTATCACTGTGTCACTCTATCACTGTGTCACTGTTTCACTGTGTCACTGTGTCCCCTTGTCACTCTGTCACTACTGTCACTGTGTCACTGTGTTTCCGTGTCACTCTGTCACTCTGTCACTGTGTCACTGTGTCACTCTGTCACTGTGTCACTCTGTCACTGTGTCCCTTTGTCACTGTGTCACTGTGTCTCCGTGTCAATGTATCACTGTGTCACTCTGTCACTCTGTGACTGTGTCACTCTGTCACTGTGTCCCTTTGTCACTGTGTTACTGTGTCACTGTGTCACTCTGTCACTGTGTCACTCTGTCACTGTGTCCCCGTGTCACTGTCACTGTGTCCTCTTGTCACTGTGTCACTGTGTCCCCTTGTCACCGTGTCACTGTGTCACTGTGTCCCCGTGTCACTCTGTCACTGTGTCACTCTGTCACTATGTCACTGTGTCCCCGTGTCACTCTGTCACTGTGTCACTCTGTCACTGTCACTGTGTCACTGTGTCACTCTGTCACTGTGTTCCCGTGTCACTCTGTCACTCTGTCACTCTGTGACTCTGTCACTGTGTCACTCTATCACTGTGTCACTCTGTCACTGTGTCACTGTGTCCCCTTGTCACCGTGTCACTGTGTCACTGTGTCCCCGTGTCACTCTGTCACTGTGTCACTCTGTCACTATGTCACTGTGTCCCCGTGTCACTCTGTCACTGTGTCACTCTGTCACTGTCACTGTGTCACTCTGTCACTGTGTCACTGTGTCACTGTGTTCCCGTGTCACTCTGTCACTGTGTCACTCTGTGACTCTGTCACTGTGTCACTCTATCACTGTGTCACTCTGTCACTGTGTCACTGTGTCTCCGTGTCACTGTGTCACTCTGTCGCTGTGTCACTCTGTCACTGTGTCATTGTGTCCCCGTGTCACTCTGTCACTGTGTTACTGTGTCACTGTGTCACTCTGTCACTGTGTAATTGTGTCCCCGTGTCACTCTGTCACTGTGTTCCCGTGTCACTCTGTCACTGTGTCACTTTGTCACTGTGTCTCCGTGTCACTCTGTCACTGTGTCCCCGTGTCACTGTGTCATTGTGTCACTCTGTCACTGTGTCACTGTGTCACTCTGTCACTGTGTCCCCGTGTCACTATGTCACTGTGTCACTGTGTCCCCGTGTCACTCTGTCACTGTGTCCCCGTGTCACTGTGTCACTCTGTCACTGTGTCCCCGTGTCACTGTGTCACTGTGTCACTCTGTCACTGTGTCACTCTGTCACTGTGTCACTGTGTCACTCTGTCACTGTGTCATTGTGTCCTCGTGTCACTCTGTCACTGTGTCCCCATGTCACTCTGTCACTGTGTCCCCGTGTCACTCTGTCACTGTGTCCCCGTGTCACTGTGTCCCCGTGTCACTGTGTCACTCTGTCACTGTGTCCCTTTGTCACTGTGTCACTGTGTTACTGTGTCACTGTGTCCCCTTGTCACTGTGTCCCTGTGTCACTGTGTCACTGTGTCACTGTGTCTCCGTGTCACTCTGTCACTGTGTCCCCGTGTCACTGTGTCACTGTGTCTCCGTATCACTCTGTCACTGTGTCCCCGTGTCACTCTGTCACTGTGTCACTCTGTCACTGTGTCACTGTGTCACTCTGTCACTGTGTCCCTTTGTCACTCTGTCACTGTGTCACTCTGTCACTGTGTCACTCTGTCACTGTGTCACTCTGCCACTGTATCACTGTGTCACTCTATCACTGTGTCACTGTTTCACTGTGTCACTGTGTCCCCTTGTCACTCTGTCACTACTGTCACTGTGTCACTGTGTTTCCGTGTCACTCTGTCACTCTGTCACTGTGTCACTGTGTCACTCTGTCACTGTGTCACTCTGTCACTGTGTCCCTTTGTCACTGTGTCACTGTGTCTCCGTGTCTCCGTGTCACTGTATCACTGTGTCACTCTGTCACTCTGTGACTGTGTCACTCTGTCACTGTGTCCCTTTGTCACTGTGTTACTGTGTCACTGTGTCACTCTGTCACTGTGTCACTCTGTTACTGTGTCCCTTTGTCACTGTGTTACTGTGTCACTCTGTCACTGTGTCACTCTGTCACTGTGTCCCCGTGTCACTGTCACTGTGTCCTCTTGTCACTGTGTCACTGTGTCCCCTTGTCACCGTGTCACTGTGTCACTGTGTCCCCGTGTCACTCTGTCACTGTGTCACTCTGTCACTATGTCACTGTGTCCCCGTGTCACTCTGTCACTGTGTCACTCTGTCACTGTCACTGTGTCACTCTGTCACTGTGTTCCCGTGTCACTCTGTCACTGTGTCACTCTGTGACTGTCACTGTGTCACTCTATCACTGTGTCACTCTGTCACTGTGTCACTGTGTCCCCTTGTCACCGTGTCACTGTGTCACTGTGTCCCCGTGTCACTCTGTCACTGTGTCACTCTGTCACTATGTCACTGTGTCCCAGTGTCACTCTGTCACTGTGTCACTCTGTCACTGTCACTGTGTCACTGTGTCACTCTGTCACTGTGTCACTGTGTTCCCATGTCACTCTGTCACTGTGTCACTGTGTTCCCATGTCACTCTGTCACTGTGTCACTCTATCACTGTGTCACTCTGTCACTGTGTCACTGTGTCTCCGTGTCACTGTGTCACTCTGTCGCTGTGTCACTCTGTCACTGTGTCATTGTGTCCCCGTGTCACTCTGTCACTGTGTTACTGTGTCACTGTGTCACTCTGTCACTGTGTAATTGTGTCCCCGTGTCACTCTGTCACTGTGTTCCCGTGTCACTCTGTCAGTGTGTCACTTTGTCACTGTGTCTCCGTGTCACTCTGTCACTGTGTCCCCGTGTCACTGTGTCATTGTGTCACTCTGTCACTGTGTCACTGTGTCACTCTGTCACTGTGTCCCCGTGTCACTATGTCACTGTGTCACTGTGTCCCCGTGTCACTCTGTCACTGTGTCCCCGTGTCCGCGTGTCACTCTGTCACTGTGTCCCCGTGTCACTGTGTCACTCTGTCACTGTGTCACTCTGTCACTGTGTCACTGTGTCACTCTGTCACTGTGTCATTGTGTCCCCGTGTCACTCTGTCACTGTGTCCCCATGTCACTCTGTCACTGTGTCCCCGTGTCACTCTGTCACTGTGTCCCCGTGTCACTGTGTCCCCGTGTCACTGTGTCACTCTGTCACTGTGTCCCTTTGTCACTGTGTCACTGTGTTACTGTGTCACTGTGTCCCCTTGTCACTGTGTCCCTGTGTCACTGTGTCACTGTGTCCCCGTGTCACTGTGTCACTGTGTCTCCGTATCACTCTGTCACTGTGTCCCCGTGTCACTCTGTCACTGTGTCACTCTGTCACTGTGTCACTCTGTCACTGTGTCACTGTGTCACTCTGTCACTGTGTCCCTTTGTCACTCTGTCACTGTGTCACTCTGTCACTGTGTCACTCTGTCACTGTGTCACTCTGTCACTCTGTCACTGTGTCCCCTTGTCACTGTGTCACTGTGATACTGTGTTACTGTGTCACTGTGTTACTGTGTCACTGTGTCACTGTGTCCCCGTGTCACTGTGTCACTGTGTTAGTGTGTCACTGTGTTACTGTGTCAC